ATCAGCGCCTTCCCAACGGCCCTGCTAGCCCTGTGCTCCGGCCACCTTCACATGTTCCTCTGATGCCAAAGGCAGCCCCCAGGGGTTATGCTGTAGCCCATTTTACAGGTGGGAAGACTGAGTCGGGCAGTCGTGTGAGCCTTGCCTTCCTCCCAAGGCTGAGCCACCCAGGGAGGGTGCCACCCACAGTGTCACCAGGCGGGAGTCCTGCCTCCCGAGCTCTGGGAAGCCAGGCTGAGCCAGGGAGCAGGACTCCTCATCCAGCTTCCTCTTCGTGCTGGAAGCACCTCCCCAGCCAGGAAGCGAGGTCTCCGTCAGTGCAGGAGCTCAGGGGGAAGGCTCTGTGCCCCTACACACTCTGACGGCTGCGGCCTCCATGGCACACCTGTGGTCGCTGGGAGAGGGCTGTCCATTTGGACCAAAGCCTGGCGGGGACGCCCGGCCTGTCTCCTGGCTGCCATCCGCTGAGGTTCACGCATGCACCCTGGCCTGTCTGCCCGCTGCCCATTTGCCCAGACCCAGCAAGCTGGACCCCAGCCTCACCCCCGAGATGGACCTCCAGGCGCAGCGCCCTCCTACCCCAGCAACGGGCCTGGTTGCGGGAGCAGCCCCACGCAGGCTGCGTGCCGCTCACTCCTGCTAGCCATCAGGCCCGAGAGGGAAGGGACAGCCCTCGAGGACGGGCGGCTCCTGTCCCCAGCTCAGGGCTGGGCCACGCAGGCTGCGAGGTCCGTGCGCTGCCCGTGTCCTCTGCTCTCTGATGCTGCTGAGATAGCGGCCTGGCTGGGCAATTTGCACGGCCTTCTGGGAGGGCATTAGCATATAAATAGCCGCCGGGTGACGGCCATCACAGCTGAGCACGTTTAATTTTTAGTTTATAAGATAGAATGGGGTTTTAAATGCATGGCCATCAAGGCTGAGAGACAAATGCAGGTGGGAGCTCACTTGTCTGACGAGGCCTTACATCATTTTTTTTTTTAAAAGGGAAACACACATAAACCGAACAGAAGTGATTTCTTGGGTGAAAAGTAATTGAGATTGCGCACCAAGTTAATTAGATCGCACAGAATTTATTTAATGGTCCCAGCTGTATCGGGCGGCCTGGTGGGCGGGCTGCCCTGGCGCGAGGCGCGCTTCCCGTCCCCTCTCCGGTAATTAGTAACCTCGCTACCTCACTTCTGCAAACTGATTGCATTGTATATTTTAGCCATTTTATTGCTTGTTTAATTATGATTGTGGAGGCTCATTTTTCTAGATCCTTTTAACTGTGGGTGAAGAATCCGTTCGTATAGAACCAGCGAGGCCATGGCCGCCTCCAGGCCTCCCTGGCCGCGGGCGGGCTGTGCGTGTGAAAGCTTCGAAAAGCGCAGGAGGAGTCCGGTGGCCGAGGACTGACCGCCTGCCGGCCCTCACCTGTTCGGGGTGAGCACGTGGCCGGCATGACCTTCACGAGTCCCAGACGAGGCGCCAGGTCAGGTGGAGATCTGAAGCTGCTCCGGGGAGACCTTCAGCTGAGGCCACCTCAGGGCATGACCTCCTCCCAGAGTCCTCGGGCATCCTGGCCCCTGCTCTGCCCTGCCCCCAGCGCCTCCCCCACCCCCTCTCAGTGCAGGCTTCTGACCCCATCCGTGACCTTTACCACACGGGGAGGTTGCTGCTGCCTTGAACCGCGGGGCTGGCCCAGGAGCTCAGGTGCAGGCCTTCGTGGCCAGCTGTGCTGGGTCCGAGGTCGTGGGAGGAGTGGCAGCCTGGGGGGCGGTGCTTCTTGGAACAGGTGCTTGGTGGGAGGCCCACGGGGCAGGCCACGCACGCAGGGGCCACGGAGGGCGGGGCAGCAGTGCCTTCCCCACCTGCCACTGTGCGCTCTCGGCTGCAGTGAGCTGACCCAGCGCTGAGGGTGGCCCGGCTGGCACCTCCGGAGGCAGTTCTCACAGCCCAGCCGCTCGCGCTTGCAGAGGTCCTCGCCCCAGCCTGTCCCGGACTCGGGCGCGGAGTGAAGGCGTGTGTTCCTGCTAGTTAGCTCAGCAGCTGAATTTGTTTTAGAAAGTGAAAATTTAACACAAGTCCCTGGTGAAATTCGAGGGTGGGAGCGAAAAGCACAGCCTTTTATGAAAACAACCCCCATATTTAAAATGTGGCGTCTGCGTTCTGCATTGTAGCACCCGGTCGGTCCACATCTACCTTTTAGGAAATTAAAACACATAAATTCTGTTTAGTGTTGGGTGCGCACTGTGAGGCCGGGAGCCGTCATGCCCTCGAACCTTGGGCTGCTTTCCCTTTCATAAATTCCGGGGAGATTCTATACAAAAATAATTTTCAGGTCCGCGGCTCATTGTTATTCAAACGTGATTGATTGTCGTCATTTGCTCAGCTCGGGAGTTAAGTGCCCCTGTCATTTCCAAAGAGTATAATTGGGACGTTTCACAGGTCAGCGGCGGAGACAGGCTTCCCTTTGATCAGTGTTAGGCTGATAACAGAAATTGCCGTTTCCAGTGATGGATGTCTCCGCACGCCGAGGCAGGGCTGCCGGCACCCACACCGAGTGAATTTGCATCTGATTATGCCTCTGGGCTGTGGAACCAGGAACCAGGTACCGCCTGCAGCCCAGGGTGCCTCGGCCTGGACGTGGCCGTGGGGCCGTGCGCGCCGCCCCTGTGGCCAGTGTTGTGTCGAGGCCTGTGTCAGATGGGCGTGTCGAGGCTGTGTCAGATGGCCGTGCGCGCCGCCCCTGTGGCCAGTGTTGTGTCGAGGCCTGTGTCAGATGGGCGTGTCGAGGCCTGTGTCAGATGGGCCTGTGTCAGATGGGCCTGTGTCAGATGGGCCTGTGTCAGATGGGCCTGTGTCAGATGGTTCTGTGTCAGATGGGCCTGTACCTGCGTCTGCCTCTGAGCCTGACCGCCTGTCGCTGGTGCTCATGGGACAGGGTCTGTCTTCCTTCCTGCCGCCTTTTCTTAGGGGGCCTGGCCTGGAGGCACAGTGGGGACCGTGGGCGGGGTTTCTGGGTGCCTCTTGCTGTGGCCCTCTCCCTCTCTGGAAGGATGTCTGAGGGGCGTGGCTCCCCTGGGATGGGGGGCTGAGCAGTCCCGGGCTTCATAAGGTTCTGGCCAGGACGCCTGCCCCCAGTGTGCGTGGCCCTGGTCGCCCTGTGTGGGAGCTCCTCTAGGAGGACCCGCCCTCGTGCGCAGGGCCTGCCACTCCCACTGAGCCGCGGAGGGCGAGGACCCATCACGCGGACCTGGGTGGGGCCTTGTGTCCAAAGGAAACTTCCTGTGGTGGCTTTTAGCATCGTTGTTAAGGACAGAATGTTCCAGAAGTGCTGTGGTCACAGCAGCACCCGAGGCCCCAGTGAGGAGCTGGCCCAGAACAGGGCGTGGTGCTGTGGCTGGGCCGAGCCGAGCTGGGCTGTCACCTCCCAGGCCTTGCCTTTTAGGGTGAGACCTGCTCCGTGGTGCTCTGAGGTGCCTGCAGGTTCGTGTTGGGGTTTGAGGGGGGTGCACAGAGCTGGTGGTTTTAGGAGCGAGGGGGTGGCTTGGAGACAGGTCAGTGAGACCAGCCACAATGCTGACCCCAGCTGGGGCCCCGGCACCTCCACCTCTGCCTGCTCCTCCCACTCAGCCTTGGGGTGTCCCCCAGACGGCGGCCCTGGGAGACGAGGACGAGGACGAGGACGATGGCGACTTTGTGGAGGTCCCGGAGAAGGAGGGGTACGAGGCCTGTGTCCCTGAACACCTGTGGCCTGAGGACGGTGAGTGGCGGAGGGGCGTTGCATGGGGCCTCGGGGGTGGGATCCGGGCCGCTGATGGGCCACGGTCCTGAGGTGCACTCGGCGCGGTGCCACGGCACACTGCAGTCAGCCCCCGCGGCCTGCCCCCGGCACTGCTCTTCACTGAGCGCGGGGCCCGCGGCCTGTCCCTGGTCCGTGGGAGCCAGCCCAGGACACGGAGCTTGCATTTCCTCGGAGTTTTCACGGAGGGGCTTTTATCTTCCCCTTCATCCTGCGTCTGTCAGGACGCAGTCTCTTCCTCACATTTACATTTTAATTACAAGGCCAGCTGAACGGGGCAGAATCAATAGTGTCAGGCGGAGGCTGGCTGTGGGCCGCCTCGCCTCCTGGATTGATCCGTCCGCCCCGCCTGCCTTAATGCTCCGGGCGGATGGTGCCGCTCATCAATTTAAACAAAAAAGGAGATTCGGGCATTTCCATGATTCCTCCTAAAGCAACCGTGGGAGTGAGTCTGCACCAAGCCCGGCACCGAGTCCGACGCCGGGGCGGGGCCGCGGGCCTCCCTTCCAGCCTCCCCTGAACGTTCCCCTGGAAGCCGTGTGCCGCCCGCGCTCTGCTCTCCGGCTGCACTTGGAAAGTACGTCGGCGAGATTGATTTTCTACCGCAGTGTGAGATGGCGGTGTTTTTTTAGTGCCCCGAGTATTTACCCCGCTCTAACACGCTTACCCATCTTTTTAATGGTTTAAAACAACAAATCAATGAAAAATATATTTCATTCTTGTAACTCAGGAATTCTCATATTGATCTTGGGCTGTGACTGTATCCATCCAAACCCCAGTGTCATTACCAGCCTCTCTGTGCGCGGGCACGCGAGCACGCATGCTTGTGCGGGCCACCGCGTGTTCCTAATGGCGTGCCATCAGCCTCCAAGGTGGGCATGGGGGCGCCTCCGTCAGTGGGGCCTGGGCCTCAGAGTTCGTGCTCAGGTGGCCAGAGGTGGACACAGTCACTCTGAGGGGCTCTGTCCTGTGTCCCCCTCTCAGCATGGGACCCCAAGAATGGGGCGGACGGCAGAGCTCCAGGGTGTCTGGGGCAGGGCGGGCAGACATCTTCTGTGATAGGCGGTGGGCCACGTGCGCCCCTGGCAGCGGCTCACCCCTGCTCCCCTCTGCATATTGCCGGCAACTGATCAATGTTCCCCTCTCCATGTTTCTCTCTCTCCTTTCCTCTCTATCTAAACTCACTGAAATACCCGCAGGTGAGCCCCAAACATTCATTCTGATGGTCATCCCTAATAATTAAAGATTCATACTGATATCTGCTGTCCACTGCTTGCTTCTGCAGTTTATCAATGTCTGTACATCCCCCGCACAAGATGGTAACCTGGCTCCTGGGCACAGCTGGGCGCCCATGCTGCGGTCAGTCCCCCGTGGGTGGGATGTACAGACAGGTGGGTACTGGGCAGCACAGGCTGGCCAGCTGGTCTAGGGAGGGCAGTGGGCTTCTGTGGTGCCTGAGACGCTGCCCTTGTCTGCCCCAGGAACATGGGGGTGGACGCCGGGCGTGTGGGCCCATCAGTGGCGGTATTCTGTGGGGATGCCGGCTGGTGCCAGCATCGGGGCTTCAGCTGGCTGGTGGCAGGGCCGGCCCTCCGTGGGCTGCAGCCATGGCTGCTGGAGGGTTTGGTGCCCTGACCTGCACGCCACCTGCTAACCCTGGGTCACACCTTTCCTCCTGGGCTGGGGTTCAGAGAGGGACCTGGCTGCGCAGGGCTTGCTGGCAAGGAAGAGGAGGAGGACGGATGAGGAGGCGAGCGACCCCACCTCTGCTGCCGCCCAGCTCCACCGGCTCCGCGGCCACTTGCCCCCAGCCCCGTGCCTGAGCCCCAGGTGACTCCCGGTCACCCCGCCTCCGCCCAAGGCACG